CCTGAATTCTATATTATGGATTCATATAGCTAGAAGGGCTTCTGGCCTATGATTGGGATCTTTCTGGATATTTTTTTCGATTTTGACCCCAGAACCCCCAAAATTGCTCTACTAATATAATTATTTTATGTTATTTTACATTTTAATGAATTAAAAATCCTATATTTTAAAATTTATTTATTAGTTAAATCTAATAATTACATTATTTTCTCAAAAAGTATTATTAGAAAGTATTTAAAAAATACAGTTGATAAAATTTTAACAAATTATTTGATAATACTAAGACTGATTTATTAGTTATAACTTTTACTTTTGATGGATAGAAAAATATGATATGATTATGTTAAAATGATTATTTAGAAAGTAATTAATTATAGTAATAATAGAGATACTACCAATAAGATTATATAAATTATATAATAACTTTTATAGAATTAGATTAAGAAAATATAAAAGTTAATATGTTAATTACAGATTTAGTATTAGAAAATGCTTCTGCATAATAATATTTTTTATTATTTAATTTATTAATATTAATTTATTAATAAATATAATTATTAATTATTTTTAAGAAATTAAATTTTCTTACAAAAGTAAATGAGTAAACTATTGCAATTCTTAGTTTTTTAGTAATATAAAAGTGTAGATTAGAAAATTATATAAATGAGCAAGTAGCAATATATAAAAATAAATATTATATATTAATTGTATTTAATAATATCTATTAGAATTTACAATATTATTGTTTTATAAATTTATTATAATCAAAATCTACATTAAAAGTAAATAATAATTTTTTGCTATAATTATTTAATTTAATATTAAAAAAAATTTACAATTAAAAATAATTATTAGAAGTTAATAATAAAAATTGAAGAACAAATAGATAATAATCTTATGACTTTCTAGAAAAATAAATTAATTGTATTTCTGATAATAATTGGTGAAAAAATTTTAAAAATTAGAAACAATAATCATTTTCTATTGTATTATACTTAAATTTCAATAATATAATTATAACTTCATGATATTTTTTTATTACTTTGGTATTTAATTATAGTTTTACTTTTATTAGATAATAATAATTTTAAAAATAGACTTTTAAAAAAATTTGAAAGAAGATAAAATGATTGAGAACAATCACTTTTTATTATTAGCATTTTTATTTTATTTAGAATATTGTATTGATAAATTTAATTTACAAATTAAAATATTATCTTTTTTATATATTAATAAATTAGTTATTTACTATTATTATTAGTTGAATTAGAGCTTATCAATAAAAAAAATCCTTATAATAATAATATTGCATAGTAATTTAATAATAATATTTTAGAATTTAGAATTATATTCATGATTATTCTAAGTAACTTTACTGTATTGTTAAATATATTTTTTCAATTGCAGTAATTACAGCATCTCTTGAAAAACTTTTTTATAATGGAATGATTGTATTCAAAATGTTAAAATTATTTAATAGTATGCATTTTAATTAATAAATTAATTTTATAAGTAGTATATTAATATTTTTTATTAATATTTTTAATTGTTTAAAAAGATTTTAGAAATGACTTAGATACATGCTTCAATGCATAAAAATTTCAATAAAAGAAAATTAATAAAGATGTATTAAATTTTTAAAATATAAATATTGCACTTCTAATAAATGAAGACTAAATATATTAGATCTAAATATATTAGATGAATCAATTGATTTATTTATTGAAATAAATACTGATTTTAATATTCAAATTAAAAGTAATTAGAGAAATCTAATATCAATATGGATTAATATGTTAGAAGATAAATCAAATAAGATGAAAAAATTAATAGTAATAATGATGATAAAAAGCTTGAAATTAATATTATAAATATTTCAAATTTATCTCATCCTGCTAGAAATCAAAATTCTAAATGGAATTTTCAAGATATTTTTATTGAAAATTTAAGGGAACCTAATTATTTGTTAAATTTTATGTTAGGTAATAATTAGTAAATTTAACAATAAAAATGATAAATTTATAATTTTTACAATTTTAAATATATTGCTAAAATTATATATAAATTTATAGCTTTTGGACTAAGTTCAGTAGTCCAATAGTCCAAATTTTAATGGAATTTGAATGGACTAAGTCCAATAGTCCAAAAGGCCAACACTGGTCTCTAATGATCCTGGGGTTAGAAACTATTCACATGGTACTCTCTAACAAAAGATGTAGGTAAGATTAGTGAATATGATATTAAGCGTATTATTCGTCTTTGCATCTACATGGACAAATTAATATCACAAAAAAGCAGTTTAATAGGTCACTTCCAAATGTATAAAAAATAAGGCTAAAAGACTTAATAAAGCAGTGGCATGTATAAGACGAAAAATTTTTCATTTGCAAAGAAAAATCACATGAAAAACAGTTCAGCAAATGCTTGGTTGAGCACATTATCGTCAACGTCTAGTAGCCAAAGCAGAAGAATAGAGAGTTCATATCATTATTCAAAATGAAACTTATACCTCTAAAACTTGTAGCTGATGTGAAAAAATTCAAAAAAATTAGAGGTTCTGAGATGTATAATTGCCAAAATTGTTCGAGATGAAAATGGCGCTCGGAGAATCTTTCTCCGGTATTAGTCACAAATCATATTGTGCCTCAAATGATCTTCAACTGCGCCAAAAAATCATAAAAGTGATGCATGTTAAACATGTAATACATGTATCGTTTGATTGACTTTATAACACATGTATCGAATAGTTTACTTTTTATTATAAATATTACATAGTCTTCTTTTTATTACTTATATTATATTATCTAGTTTTCATTATATATATTGTTGATACTTATCAAAAAGCATAGTTAACAATTTTATATAAATAGACCTGTAAGTTGACCTTGAATCAACAGAGTTTTTGCTCAGAGATTGAGATAAATATTGGGACTAGACTTATAAACACTTCAAGTTAATAAAGTTACTATTTTACACTTTCAACCTCCTTCTTGTCTTCATCATAAGATTGATCGTGATAACTGACTACACAAGTGAATCGTGATAATAAATAGTTTTGTTTGTTAATCGTTAATTTCCCTTAGGAAAGGCCTTCGAGATAATTGTGATATTAAGTTTATTTAGTTTTGTTAGCTTGGTTTTGAGAAGATTCCAGGCCTAACACCGGGCTTTGCTTGATGGATCTCCGGAGATCATAGTTTCACTTGTCATTATATTTAATAAAAAAAGTTATTATATTTTCAAATAAATGAGAAAATTTTACCTAATTAAAGTGATTAATGAATTTTTACTCAGATAAATTATCGCGCAAAGAAAGAAAAGCACATATTCTATCAATTGAAATTTAATTAAATTAAAAATAATTCTAAGAGTGTGTAGGGGTTGGAGGAGAAAATTCCGACGAAATATTTCACGTCGAAATTTCCTCTTCCAACCCCTGCACACTACGAATCTAATTTTAACTAGATATCATCATGTAATTATTTATGTGATTTATTGACAATAAGTTTTTTTTTGTAAATAGAAATGTGGGAATATAAAGGAAAGACGATGTATGCTTCGGATAATTCAATCGCTAATATTGATAGATATGTTTAAAATAATAAAGAATTATTGTATATTGATTATTTTACTTATAAGTCAGGCATAATTCATTGTACGAGAGAAATTATTACATAAATAAACACAAAAAATAAATTTTATATTATTTTATTTTATTTTTTAAAAAACCCTCCCCAAATATAAATAATAAATGAATAACGATTATTCGTGGGATGAACGAATCGATGATGTTATATCCACACTTCATAAAAATGTTAACAAACCATTTCAACAAAAATGATAATTTCAAGTAACAACGAAAACCTCGATTTCTAATGATTTAACTTCATCACTCACTCTTTATTTTTCAAGCTAATGGTCAAGATATTTACTTATGTTGCAAAATCTTCAAATGATCAAATTTTTTTAAAAGTCTTTGCTCTTATCAAGTTAAGAAATGTTTAATGAGGCCAAAGCAGAATTTATGAAAATTTTTTTACACGTTTTTTTCATTAGTCAAATTCTTTCCTGAAATACCTTGGCCTCTTAATAATGTAAAAAGTTTTTGGTTAGTCCATACGGAATTGATACGTTTCGTGATGGTTCACATAATTTGGAAGATTAATTATAGATTTCTTTACAATTTAACTGAAGATGATCCTGGAATTATCACAAAAATTATATTAAGATATGGTAGTGTAATTGATTGTATTCAAACTTATTATAAAGAACATAGAAATGTTGAAAGAATAGAACTGGGAAAAAAATGGCGGAAAAGGTGGACGGGAATATATAATTTCAGATCTAGATAATCGTCCAAAATACATCGTTGATATCAATCTGAAGTTTGGTCGCGGATTACTTTCTGTTATAGAATTAACTTTTATTGACAACAAATCTACTGGACCTTTAGGAACACCCGATGTTCCAATAACTGGAACAGTACGATTTGGCCCATTTAATCAATTTAGATTAATGGAGGTAGAGGAAGGATTTGTGCTAATGATAATCGTGAAGAATATGTCGTTCATATAGAATTTCAATTTCAATATGTTGTTTCTGTTTGATTTTTATCGTAAAAATCGTTGTATAAACTGAAGGATTCTTATCATCCTATCATCCAAAATTCCTTAATCCGAATTCAAATGTAGAAATTTATTTCAATATACATGAATCAAATTATAATATTTTTCTTTGAAAGAAAAAAAAAGTTTTCCGAGATAATCTTGAAATGATCCTTTTGAATAGTACTGCGCCATATTTATTCGCCGAATAACCTTGAAAGAAAATTATGATGTACAGTAGATCACATCAAATTTAATAGTTACTTAAACCGTATAAAAAAAAAACATGAAATTAGGATTATAATTTTTTCATTTTGAATATGGCATCACGAATTGACGTTTTCGCACATTTCAATAACGAAAACGTATCTCCAAGTATTAGCAGTCAGTTGATTTCGATTATTAATTTCTTAAAAAAAGTAATCTATCATATCTATTTTTTTTTTTTCCTTTTTAGCAACTGTAAGTTCAATAAGTTTAATACATTTAATGAAGGAGCGAACAATGTTTGACGAAATACAAAGTACTGGATTTATCATAGCACTGAATAAAAAGAAAAACCGAATAAAAATATGTCTTAATTTATCCACAAAATTTGGACGAAAACGAATTTGGGCCACTATAATTCGTTACAATGATTTAAAAAGAATAATAAATAATTAATACTAAGTATTCTTTTTAAAACTTGTAATCCAAAAATTTAAAGGTATAGTCACGACAAAATAAAACCATTACTTTAACTACATGAGTCATTACCCCTGTTCGCCGTTCGCCGTTATGTGTGCACATTCCACACTCGAAGACCTCATACTTTAAACATCGCTTAAAGTAATAATGACAAAAGTATTTGGAATCACTTTATGAGGATGTAATTATTAATTCTATTGTGCCATGATGGGATCTTTATTCTTATTTATGATCCTCTCTCATAATTCTGACAATGCCTCTCTCTTATCATGAAACGATGGCGGCGATAGTATTTGAATAAATTTTTACTTGTACCGCCTAAAAAAGTATAGATAATTTTGATTATTTCTCGAATAAATCATCAAGTTTAACATTTTCTTTAAATTGTATTAGTAAACCTAATGATTGTGTCTAAAGATTTTATGAACTTTTTTTATATATTTTTATCGTAAAATGCATTTTATTAAATACATCTAATTTAAAAGCAAAGCGATAAAAAAAAAAAAAATTCACGCTCTTTTAACGAAAGTTTCCGATTACATATTGGAATCGAATTGTGTGATATGTGAATATCGACCGCACAAAAAAAAAAAAAACTTTTTTTGGAATTTGTCAGTCTTTAAAAAAATTTAATGTTCTTTTTTTCACTTTATTTATTTTATTTCTTATTTATCATTACTGAAATACGACCCAAGACAATATTTCTGTCATTTAGTAGAAACTATAATAGACGTCAGTTGTTTGCCTCTGTATTTTATTATTTTTTTTTAAAAAAAAAAAAATAAAATAAATAAATAAATTTGGCCTTGCTCGATTAAGTTATAACCAATGATTTTCGAGATTTTCATTCGTTAATTGATAACTTTTCTAAATTTTCAAATGCTTGTGTTTGTTTTAAGTTTTTAGTTATTATTAGGAAATTAGTCAGTTGTATGCAACTCATAATTCATAAATAAAGGAATTTTGTTGTGTAAAACGTGAAACTCACAAAATTAATAAAATGTAATGTTAAATATCAATTAAAATTGTTGATAACTTGTGAAATTAAGATTTCAAATCAAGAAATTATTTTATTGTGGGTCTTGAATGGAAATTAATAAGAAATTGGCCAAAGAAAAAAAAAACTTTCTACAATAATGTTCACAATAATTATGCAACTAATTTATATCTAATAAAACTAATAGATATAATATTTATGCTATGATGTGTCATCATTCGATTTTACCACTCCCCACATGTAACACAACAAAATAAAAATCATTAGATTTAAAAATTAACAATTACAATAATTACTTTTTACATATTAATTGAGGGAGTTTTAAAAGAAATCGGTAATTTTCAAGGGACCATCAAGTTTGGGATCGGTCCCTTAATCTTCTTCAGAATTCCTTGTAATCGATATGAATAAAAAAATGTGTTCATTTTCAAATTAATGAACAAAAATTATTTCTGGAAATGCAAGTGAATGCAAAGTCGCTTCCTAATAAGTATTATAAAGCCACCTTGATCATGAGAACAAGTTCAAATAAAATAAATTGAAGTTTGACTTGTTTGAAAGTTGATCATTAACATTAGAATGTATCTACCAATCATAATCTACTTCTCAGATACGAATCAGCCCTCATTGGAATAATTGATCGTCAAAATAAATACAGCAAAACAAAAATGTTTTCAATTTATATTTATAGGGGAGGGGGGCACGCACGAAAGAATATAGGATTTTTTTTTTTTTTTTAAAAAAAAAAAAATCTCAGTTTATTTCTTTTCTCAAGAGAAACAAATTCAAAAGTACTTTACTGAAATGATCACATTAAATACATCATATAACGTTGGACATGCGTCGCCGAATAATTCTCGTGTATTAATTTTACCGTTTATCGAATTTGATCCGGTCCCACTTATTTTAATATTCGCCATTTCGTTAAATTTATTAGGATGCGTTGAAGTTTTCTACCGCGTCCACTGTATAAAGTGCAGAATTGGAAAAAATCAACCGTTACCTTTAGATTCAAAATTTTCTTTTAACATTGCCATTTCAAGTACGTATGCCTATTTAAGAAGTTGGTCTCGTTTCAGTACAGATTAAATTAAAATATAACCTTTTTTATTAGATGTGCTTTTTGCTATAATGCAAATCATTGATTTGGTACGTGCAAACATTCGATTCCAACCAGACCAAAATGAAACAATGCTAATATTCACTTACAATCTTGTAGATTCTTACCGGGACGAGTTCAATTAAGCCCGGAATAGCTTGCGATTTGATGGGAAAAATTTCTCCATCATTCTTAACATTCAATTTATTATCAGTTACATCTTTCACATACTTATTTTTTTTAAGAGTGTGTAAAAGTGTTGATATAACCAGAAAGCATGATTGGAGATTGCGGAAATTATTATTTTTAGGTTCTTTGGTTGCATCGATTTATGGTCTCAATAGATATGAACCACAAGATCTATGGTATGGATTTTGCTGCACCCTATAAATTTTCCGAACTGCTGCGCGACCGCTCAACAGATCATTTCTTTCCATAATAGGTGTTCCAACAAGCCACAAGGGGGAATTATATGCCTGGTCAATGTAGGATTCATAACCAGTATTTTGATCGTCGCGTTAACGATCTGCTTTAGGCTTGTAAATATGACGCGTTATATGATAAGTGAGGATCACGTGCGTGTTAACAAGAAACGTGAACCGGTTCAACCACACGTTATACGTAATGCGGTTTCTTCTTTAATACCATACTTCGTGCAATGGGTAAGCTAGATAATTTAATGATTTCATATATATATATTTTACTTTACGAATGAACGCGATCTTAAATTTTTAAATGCAGATATGCGTTTTGATATATAACTTTTCGTTGCTTCACAAAGTAAATGATAAATCGACCAAATCGTTTTTTACGATAATCTTAATATTAGGTAAATATCCGTAAAACATCGCATACCCGTCTCAACTATCATCATTCTATTAACAAATCATTTTTTTTTTTTTTATCAAAGGTGTAAATCTTGGTGGATTCGGTAACGCATTTATGTACATTATTAATGAATATAGGACATTTCTCATTGTAGGAAACCCCACGAAATGTCATACTTTAGATCAAAATAACGTTGTAGTGAATTCTATATCACGAGGAATTTGTATGGATTTTTTAGTAGCGTAGCGTCACTCGCTTTTATTATCTGTAAATAATACATTTTCGATTAGGTCGATCCATAAATAAAGATTAATCATTACTACAAAATATTACAGAGAAAGAAATTTATTATATATTTAAACTTTATAAAAATGCAAATCTGTTTTATACAAACAGTAACCATTATGATTAGGAAAGGAAAAAAAAAAAGATCATTATAAAAATACATATCATACAAAAAAAAAAACAAAATAAAATAAATCAAAATAAATAATAATCTAGGATTTCCTTGAACCAGCAAGATTAATTGGCCCCCTTGGTCCCATAGGTCTTGTACCCGTAACACTATGACTACTACGATTATTAAAGTTATTATCATAAATACTGGTTGGTTTCGGTGGTGGAGGTGGTAACGTTGTAGCGGTTGAAATAGGAGCAAATCCACCCGGGAAAACTCTCTGAGACGGGGGTCGATTTTGTAAAGTTGTCGTTTGTTGAATCTTTGAAGGATAACCATTTTCAACATTATCATTATCATTGTCGAGTTTCCATTCATGCCATGTCTTTCTTGGAATCTGATTTCTTTCAAATACATCGGTTTTGTTTCCTTCATGACCATTGTCTTCACCAGAAATTTTACGAGTTGCACCCCATGAAAAATCATCGAAATGCCAGAACGCGTAGACAGGTAAGATGAAATTCCAAACAGGCATGGCCGAAATAAAAATAAACATCCACATCACATAAATAAATTTGTGAGTGGTAAAGATGACCAAAAACGCTTGTAAAAGGAAAGTAGCAGCAATAAAAATCAAGGGTAAGGTAATATCAACACCAAGGCCACCGACAATGAATAAATAGATCATAAATATTAGTGAAGAAGGTAATACAACCGTTCCAACCAATTCCAAAAATATAACAAATTGCATAGAACAACAGAATATACCACAAAGTTGTGGTACGAGAATTAATTCCATCAAATTATGTATCGTAGAGTTGATCCATCTTCTTCTTTGTGACAATAATACTTTAAACTCATCCGGTACTATAGTTTTACATATCGCCTTTGGTACATAAATCATTTTACGTTTCGGGAATGTTCTCAACATTAAAGTGGTAAGGTATCTATCTTCTCCAAGGAGCAATAAATTTTTTTGATGCAACGTTTCCACGGTGTTTGAAGAATATAATTCTACGATATCAGGATTTGCGAGTATGGGAACGGAAAATCCATTATATTTTGGTGCTTTGATACGATACATACAAAAACACCCTGGCAAACAGGTTACCCCACCAAATATTGATTCAAAGGATTTTCCAAGATGATGCGAAATATAATATTCAAATACTTGTATCATTGTAACCCAACTCGTTTTCTTATTCGCTATTTTCGTTTCCCCACAAAGTCCCATAACCGTTGGATCACGTTCCATCGCTGCCACCATCCTACTAACACTATCCTTCATTACCAGCGTATCTGCATCAACCATAAGTATCATCTCGTATTTATCAGGCGTTACTCCCGTTAATGTTCGTACCTTTTCAAATAATTCGAAATCCAATGGTGTCATACGATCGTTAAAAAATACATTGCTAAGCCATTTCATTAATATAAGCTGTGAATCCCGTTTACCACGATTACCGGCTTTAAGCCCTTTTCGTTCTTCTGGTGTACCAACTTTATTAATCAAACACATTGGAACACGATGTCCCTTACAATTATAATATCCGATAATGACTTCTGCCATGTTATGTTGCTTTTTGCCATCTCCTATGGCTAAATATGATTGTGGTATCGGAGACTCAAAACTAGATAAATTGAATGGTTCAATTAAATCCTTGCATATTGCCGGAGTTGATTTATCGTTATCTGATCCGGTTATGTCACCATCAGCGATTACCATTAATAATTTGTGCTTGTCAGAATAATCCGAACTGGCCAATGAATCAAGCGTTGTGCGCATTGAATGTTCGCCTTCCGAATAACACGTGACTAATAATAAAATGTGTGATGTCGTATCATCGGTTTTTGGTTTTTTCGATATTTTACCAAGTTGCCATGATAGAAACCAATCAAATGCTATAGCGGAAATGAACTTGATTAAAGAAATTCCTGTGAACACGACTAACATTATAATAAGAATCAATTTGTTCGCAAAACATCCGATGGTTGTTCCTTCAATATCTCCTACTTTAAAATTAGGCAAACATTTTGATATCTCCTTTCCCCTTGTCGTGCGAAGAATATCTCTTGTTGCATCTTTACCGAGGAGGCCTCGAAGCCATTCTGTAACGCTATCATCTCCAAGCCACTTATCCTCATTTGAAGGATCAAGATAGTATCCTAAATCATATACCTTATTATTATAAACAAACAAGGTGGTGTTAGCTTTGGTTATATTTTGCCATGAATAAGAAACGCTTATGCTCATATATAGTTCCTTTAATGCGTCATGGACACCGTTGGAAGAAGTATGACAATATAATAATGGATTTTTCGTTTCAATCGCTCTATCGCAAATGGGTCCACCATTTTTAGGGGCAAAAGGACATCCTAATTCTTGATTGTCTAGAGGAAAATAATCCGAGATATCTTGTCCAAACGTTGGAAATATTATCGGTTCTAAATCTTTATCTTCGATAGGAGGCGTCAACGGACGATGACTACCAAAAAGTATATATTCTCCAGTATTATAGAGTTTGCCATGAATAATATGCACTTTTTGACCCGGTTGATTCGGTCCATATTTTTCAAATACATCTTCCTTAAAAAATGTTTGTTTCTTTGTTCCACAAGCGATGGTTGTCAAACCGAATGCCAAAAATCCCATAAAAAATGAAATCAATAATATAATAACCACCAAAGCCACTTTTTCACGCCAAGCTTGACGCACATTGGAATCTTTCATCTTACCAATGGTGGAAAGGCAAGGATTACAAAAACATGCCGTGACTGCCAATGAAAATAATACCCAAGGAGTTTTACTCTCTCTCGGTGCCATGTCATTTTTTAAATGTGGTGCTGTCTTATATTTCCCATCGTTTATATTATCGCTCCCCGTAATATTATGACGATATTGAGCATTAACAAGATCTGTATTCTTACGTTGAATCCTTTTACGCCTTGAATCTATACGTTTTGGCATCAAATATCCTTTTGTATTATTGATTGGAATCTCTGGATAAACGTTTTGCATCATAACATTTTGTTCAATCGGTTGTTGTGGTGTCGTTGTAGGAAACCTTCCTGATACTCTTTGAGAAGGTATTCCACTTGAACGATGAGGTAGATGTGGATGTGGATGTGGATGGGAAGGCGGAATTGGTTTATTATTATGATTGTTATTATTAAGGTTATTATAATTAATAATACTATTATGATTATGATTATTGTTATTTTTATTCCCGCTTGGAACGTAATTCTCGATCATGTTTGCCAAGTCAAAATGTCCAGTGTCACGAGCAAGTATAGACGCTGTTTTCCCATTATCTGCTGTAACGGATCTGTCTGCATTATACTCCAATAACAACCGACACATTTCTACACGGTTAGAAAAAGCGGCGAGCATTAACGCGGTCCATCCATACTTTTTTTTTTTTTTTTTAAAGAAAAAGAGAAATTAAATAAAGATCACAAATAAAGACATAAAAGAAATTGAGATCACACCTTATCTGAAATGTGCACACTTGCACCTCGAGCTAGTAACACTTTAGCGGTTTCAACGTGACCTTCATAGGAAGCCAATAATAAAGCGGTTTTATAAGAACTATCTTGAAAATCCACATTGGCATGACCGTGATCGATAAGTTCACGACAAACATCAGCATGACCATTATAAGCCGCGATGATAAGAGGGGTTATATTTTCCCTATTACAACTTTCAACGTTAGCATTAGCATTCATCAAGATTTTAACAACTTCAACATTTCCCAACGAAGCAGCTTGATACAATGCCGATTCACCGTCATTATTTTGTAGGTCAATGTTAACATTTGGCAATCCTACCAAGTAATTTATAACGTCAGGACAGTTTTCACAAGCTGCTACCATTAATGGGGTCTTCCCATCTTTATTCCTTAGATTATTTGGGTTAAACTGCGTTTGATTTAATATCGATCTAACTAATCCTACATTGTTTTGTAATATTGCGTTAAATATTGCCGTTGATGGATTTAATGGTGCATTTGACGGTGGAGGTGGTGTACGTGTTGGTGCTGGTGGTATTGTTGAAGCTGGTGATGTATATGGAGGTTTATAAAAATCATCCATATTTTCCTAATTAAATGCCACAAAGTCTTTTTTTTTTTAAAAAAAAAAAAAATAATTTTTCAATCAGATTGAAATTTAATTCCCGTTGAATAAGTTTTTGTTCAAAGATGGATACTCCGTATATAAAAATCACAAGTTCATTATAACATTAAATTCGCTAATTTTCGTAATCCTGTTTGACAAGGATAAAGATAAAAAAAAAAAATAAATAAATAAAAATAAAGGTTACGAAGAAAAAAAAAATGAAGTAGAGAAAAGAAGAGGGGTTAGCAACTTTTAAAAAAAAATCCAAAAATTTCCCCGATGGTTACACAACAACAACAAAAAAAGCAGATGCTTGACAATTTCTTTAAAAGGACATAATTTATTAAACGGGGGTGACGTATTTTTAGGATATATTTAAAGGAATTTAAGGGGAAATCGAAGTTAATGATGATCATGAACGAAAAAAAGAATATTCGGTAAAAAATATTCCGAGTATAACATACGTAATGATGCAGCATTTATTCAATGAGTTTATTTTCGAATAAAAACTTGAGAGTTTATTTTTTTTTTTTTTTTAAAAAAAAAAAGAATGATAATGGATAATTCTATCCTTCGAAATATTTCGAAATTAACAAATAGCATATTGAGAATTAATTACGCTACACAAATCGTAATTGAAAATAATACGTAATACATAATAAATGGAACAAAACATTTAGATGATCACCACATCAACTTGAATAATTTCAAAAGATTTAGATGACAATAAACCAAATTCATTTTCAGTTCTACAACAAACTTCGGTTTGTTTGGCAACAACCTTTTTAACACCAGACTTTATGATAATAAAATCTTGTAATTTATCCAAGATATCATTTTGTAACAAAAATTTGATATCAGGCAAATCATCATCATCGTCCTCATCGTCAACTTTCTCAACAGAATGAGAAGAATTAAGATAGCGAGTTGATTGGGATTGTGATGAGTGTTGAAGATGAATCCATTCATGTGGATCCGTTAGATCCGTTGTAATATTTTTAGGTGTGACTATACATGGAGTCAAATAAAATGTTACTTGTCGATGTCCACGTTTAGCATGACGTTTCAAATAAGGAAGAATGACATCTTGAATCAACGTTTCCAACCTATAACAAAGAAAAAAAAAAAAATAATAATAAGAAAAAAGATTTACACAAAAAAGGATAAATTTTTATATGATTACATTACCTCCTTATACCAGTACTGATAACCGTTTCTTTTAAAGAATAATTTTTTTCATCCCTATAAGGAGCAGTAAATCCACTAATAGCGGATTCATAACTAGGTAAATTATCATCCTTGTCCATAACATCTGGTTCGATTATTTGATCATAAGGTATATTAAACTCTTTTAGCTGTAATTCAACAACTTCTTTGGCAACATATTTTGGTACTAGCAATTTGTTAGAACGAAGATAATCGAGAATCACACCAAATGCCAAAGGATTATGATCAATAAAGATTTCAGAAGAAGCCTTTTGAGAAAGCGTTGATAATTTACTATTTGGATATTTTTGTAATAATCCTTTTGATATTTCAAATTTTGTTCCTCCTACGTTGAAAATTACGTTATTTTGGGACATTTTTTTTTTATTGACGCAATATTGAAAGGTTTAGGTGTGAAAAAAAGGGTGACGATAAATTCGTAGTATTTATGATGATTGTGTAACTGCGGAAAGTTATCATCTAACCATTTTGGTAAAGAAATGAAGGAAATTTATTTATTTATTTATTTTATTATTTAAAATAGTCTGATAAAAAAAAAAAACATTTAATAAATCCGTGGGAAATTACCTTTATCTCTACAATTGTGAACTCTTATTCCGGTCTTTCAATATCACTACCTGATAGAGTCGTACATGTTACGTTACTTACTACCTTCATATGCAACCAACAAAAGACAAACCCTAATTCGATAAAACAACGGGATCTTTCTTTTTAATTAAAACTCAATTCATTTTATTATTATTTTTTTTTTTTAAAAAAAAAATTTTCATTATTACATCCATATAATCAACACCAATTTTTAATTGAAGATTTTTCTTCTTTTATTTGCCATTTTGTACATTACATTCGTAACACATCAAAATTCGCTTCCAATTTGATCCTATTCCGAATTGTTCATGAGCTTGAAGAAGAAGCATTAACAGCTCAGTTTTCTAGCGCAGCTTGGTATAAAATTTGGTATATGATGCGAGCAAGTTCGTTTAGTCGAAAAACAAGATCTCTATAACTTCTTCCAAACTTCACATAATACTGAAAGGTAAACGATTTTTGACTATTCAAGACATTAAGCATACAATTTACAATTGTTGCTTACTTTGAGGGTAAATCATTTTTAATTACGGTTTGGTTCCATTTCCTTAATTTGAGTCTGATCTATCATTTTCGTATCAACTTGTTCTTTCTCTCTGATTCCTGGAGTGTGAAATTATATTACAAAATCTACCATCGTCAATTAACGCATATGGGAGCGTTGCCAGTAATACACATATAGGTAATTTACTAATTCTCATGACAATTTTACTGTTGGATTTGGACATATATGATGTCCAATTAGATAAATGTTCCAGATGAAGATTCGATGGAGGTGGTAATGGAGACGGTATCCGGATAGGCTCCTAAAAAGAAAAAGGAAATGAATAAAGCCTAACTGCATGTTTATATTAAGGAAAACCTTACGATGACGTAACCAACCGTTCGTAAAACGTAGATTTTGAAATTTTAACAAACCATGTTCTTGTGGCCTTCAATTACTTTGATTTTCCATCTTATAATGAAGCGTCATTGTGTGAGAGAAAATGTACGTCCCACCCATTATAATCAACCTATCGTAAAAAGAAAACTTTGAGATTAATAAACCGAATGTGAGAAATAAAAATAAAAAATAAAAAAATTATCTCTAGAAAATATGATAACAACAACTCCTTACTCGCGGCTGATTTTCTTTTTGATGTTCTTATTTTAGTTCTTGCTATGCGTATCATCATGAGCTTGGCTATTCATTGAATTTAAAATTGTTCATGGTAATAAAGTTTATCCAATGTGGCTCCCGAAGGATTAATCACTGTATAGTTTACAAATTCCGTAAAACTTTAAAAATTTGAGTTAGATTAGGATAATTTTTTTTTTTGGATATATTTTACATCTGGATATTTTTATTTATGTTACATGACTTCAGAAAATTTTCGTTAATTATAATTTAAGAAAAAATTACGTATAAAAATGTGAAAACTTCACATTAATAACATTTCGAGTTGCGTCTTTGTTTTTTAATTCAGCTAGGTCGATATTATTAGAGGCTAGTTCCGAACTGGCATTGGGACAGTAAATTTTCAATATATGCGTTAAAGATATTTCATTATCATATCCAGGGCGGTTATTAACGGATTTAGGCAAAGACTTATTAAACTTGTATAAAATGATATTAATGAATTTTGCCAAGAATTTCACAGTGCAGATATAACGTAATATAAATCGATTTTCTGTTATTAAAATTTCATATGAAAAAAAAAAAAAATTACGTGAACGACAATTTTCGATCTGTGGGTTAGTACATAGATAATGACTTTCGTGTAATATACACAATTATGCATATGAAATAACTGATGCGTGTTGAAAATATTGATTTAATTAAATTTTCTTTTTAAAAAAAAAATGAGAATGATATTCCTTCACGACACAAATGGATGATAATTGATTAATGAAATCATAATCATTGTATATATTGTAAATAGAAAAATAATTTTGGAAAACCTTCTTGAGATCATTTCACGTTTTTGCTGAATGTAAAATTTCTGATGGTACTCTCGAACATGCTTTTTGAACTTGCAAATTAAAAACTTCAATTTTCATATTCAGTTTCAGCGAGTTCACCCGAGTGAATAGCATCAATGATGGCACAAGAATACTTGAGCTTGATGCGTTTACCAACAACATAAGCATCAACATTCCATCCGGTGTTAATCAACCCAAACATCAGCTGAATGTAATTCCATCTTTTCTGCAAACATATTTGCGTAATGGTATGGATGTAATATCAGGAAAGGTTTGACCGAAGCAAGCCGAGAAAGTAGCTTCTGGTTCTGTAATACCTCCTTCTGTACTGGCAATTTTGGCAGTCTATCTGAAAATTAAGTGATACATGGCTTGCGCGGAAGAAAGTTTTGAAACTGGCGGAAGCATCACAAGTCAATAAGATAATGTTTTTTGGATGACTTGATGACATACAAGGTATTTTAGCATTTGGGATTAATTCAATTGGATAAGCACAGTGGGTATTTTCTGTAAGTGCATCGCGTCATAGTTGACAACGCGTTTGTTCCTCATACACGACGTTTTCCAAGACCGAACCGAAACGGATGACATTGAAAATCTCTCTGGTTCTTTATCTGCTGACAAATTAATACATTGGCATAACATCCACCTTCAATGTTAAAGTACCATCATCTGACAAGCAATGTTCATCGTCACCAATCAAGAAACGTTTAGGATCAGCAGAGAGGGTGGTGGTCTTGCCAGTACCAAAGAAGATAGAAATATCACCGTCGGCATCTTAGTTTGCAGATGAATGCAAAGACAAGACATTATGTTTTAATAATGCATGACCGTAAAGCTACATCAGAGGAAGTTGAGCATGATGATTAGATGATATCTTTGAAGTCTAAAGAACAACCAACTAAAAATATTTATAATAATAATAGGCCTGTGCGGTCCGTTGTTTTTGTATCACCCAAATTAAGGTTCGAGGCTTGTTTGTATTGCATCAAAAGATTTGGGCAATTAAATCAAACTTCAAAACCAACCAAAGAAACGGAACTGTCCTAATGATACTCACATTCCCTTTTCCATTTCACCAGCATACTCGGTTCAAAAATGACCATTTCGTTCATATGGAAATTAATTGCCACCGAAGTGTTTGTTGTCATTCCAGACCTGTAACAATTTGCAGGGAAAGCACCAGCATTATAAATAGTGAAATCTGGAGTTCCATAATTTTCAAGTTCTCCTTTGGTAGGACGTATTAACATGTTTCGTTCGCATAAACAAGGAGCGGTAGGCACGAGCGGAAACAACACGAACCTTGATGCGGTATTTAGGATCCCATCCAGCAAATCCGTCAAAGACGTAAATTCGCTTGCGGGTGTTTAAATAATC